GATCTGCCTGTTCTTCTCCCCACTCTGTTTCTGGTGAATCCTCTCACCCACCGCATCTCTGGCTTGTACCCCGGTTCTGTAAGAGTAAATAAATAAATCTTAAAAAACAAAAACAAAACAGGAACCATTATTCAGATTAAATAGATTTTCAGCTACAAAAAAAAAAAAATAAGAGACAAGGACATTATATGATGATAAAAGGATCAATACAGCCAAAAGATATAACACTAATATATATACACTCAGCATAGGCATACCAAAATATACAAACCAAATAGTAGCAGACCTAGAGAGAGACATTTACAGCAACACAAAATAATAGGGGACTCTAACAACCTATGTACAGCAATGGGGAGATCATCCAGTCAGGAAACCAATAAGGAAACAATGGCCTTACATGACAGATAAGGTGGACTTAAATAAATTAGTTCCAGAACATTCCATCTCAAAACAACATAATACACATTTCTCCTCAAGTGCTGTTTGAACACTCTCAAGGATAGGACATATATTGTGGTACAGAATAAGTCTGTATAAATTTATGAAGACTGAAATATCAGATATCTTTTTTGTTCATAATGGTATAAAACTAGAAATTAGCCAAAAGAAGAAAGAGGAGCAAATGGCAATATATGGAAACTGAACTATTGAACAAGCATTCAATAAGGAGAAATAAAAAAATACCTGAAGATGAATAAAAATGTAGGTTTGAATTATCAGAACCAATGGGATTAGCACAAATATACTAACAGACAAATTTACAGTAATAGAAACCTACCTCAGCAAACAAGAACTATCACAAATAAAAAATTAATTTACAACTAAATGAAAATTTAAAATTACAACGAAAATAAGCAAAAACTAAGGTAGAAGGTCAATGGTAGAAAAAAAATGATATAACTCTGAGTGGAAATAAACAAAATAGAGATCAAAAATAGAAAAGAGCATTCAACCCAAACACTGTTTTTTTGAAAAGGCTAGTAAAATAGGAAGATATTTAGTGAGATTCACAAAAAAGAAAGAGAAAGTCCATGTGCATCAAAAACAAAAGTGTGGATACTATAGAAATACAAAGGATTATATGGGAATGCTATGAACACTTATATGTAAATAAATCACACCATCTAGAAGAAAGAAACACACAGCATTCCAAGACTAAATCAGGAAGAACAAGAAAATCTGAATAGCCTGATCACAAGTAAGGAAATTGAAACAGTAGTCAAAAATTTACCTAAAGGCAAAATCCCAGGACCAGATGACTTCACTAGTGAATTCCATCAAACTTTTGAAGACGAATTAACATTTGTCTTTTTAAAACTCTTCCAAAAAATTGAAGAGGGAGAATGCTTCTGAGCACATTTTGTGAAACCAGCATTACCCTGATTCCAAAACCAGAAAGAACATCACAGTAAAAGAATCATACACATGATCAAGTGGGATTTGTTCCAGGGTTTCAAAGATAGTTTAACATATACAGAATCAATTTATATGATAAGGTGCATCAGTAAGGACAAAATAATATGATTATCTACATAGGTACAATTTGACAAGATTATTGAATCCATATATGATAAAACCCTCAACAAAATGGGCATGGAAGGAACATATCTCAATATAAAAACAAACCCACAGCCAGCATCATGCTCAGTGGTGAAAAACTGAAAATTGGTCCTCTAATATTGTGAACAAGAAATGTGTGTCATCTTGTACCATGATTATTCAACATAGAATTGGAAGAATAGTCAGAGTAATAGACAAGAAAAAGCTATGAAAATTATCCAAATTGGAAAGGAGGAAGTAAAATCAAAACTATTTGTAATATTCATGGACTCCAGTAAAAGCAATAACAAATCCCCTAACAGTAGAAATAATAATAAAAAATACAGTGAAATGATAGGCTACAATATTAATTTACAAAGTTTTCTGCATTTCTATTTGCAAATAATAAACTAGAAGAAAGAGAAGCCAGTAAAACAATCCCATTTACATCAAAAAGGATTAAATAACTCAGAATAAATGAAACCAAAGAAGTGAAAACTATAGACTGAACTGCTGAAAAAACAAAAAGTTACAAAAAAGTGGGAAGATACCCTGTGTTCATGGATTTGAAGAATGAATATCATTAAAAATGCCATGTAACAAAAAATGGGATTGTTGTAAGTTTTAAGTTTTTAATAGTAAATCCAGTTTACTTTCCACAATGGTTGAATCAATTCACATTCTCACCAACATTTTAATAGGGTTTCTTTTCTTCCAGATATGTGAATATTTTAGCCAATTCAGTAGGGTCTTCTGTTATATTTTCTATATAGAAACTTTTGAACTTGTGGTAAGCCAAATTGTTTATATTGTTTTTAATTTGAAATCCAACCATAAATGTAAAAGTTCCAGTTTTTGACCATCATTGCCAATGTTTGGATGGTGGTTAAAAGCAAATAGAAAAACCCAACTTTCCATTTGTTGTTTTTAATCATTTCCTAGGGAGTGTGAAATGCTATCTCATTGTGGTTTTGATTTGCATTTCCAAAGTAACTAATGATGTTGAGCTCTTTTCATGTACCTGTTTGTCATTTGTATACTTTTTTTTTTTTCTGGATAAAATATGTTCAAACTCTTTATTTTTTAGTAGTCTTTTTTTTAATGTTGTAAGTGTATTACTGTTTCCACTACACCCTTATAACATATGATTTGTAAATATTTTTTTCTTTTTGTAGGTTGTAATGTTCTTAATAATGTTAATTGACACACACACAAGTTTTTTATTTTGACAAAGTCCTGTTTACTTCCCCACCCCCCTCTTTTAAGTTCCTTTCCATTAAAGGTCTTATATGTTTGGTCTTGATGTGGTGGATGGCAGAACCTATTTAGAGCAAGCAGGGGATTTTGGGGTGCCCCTCTCTCTGCCCTGTATGTACTTTGGCTTGTACTTTTAGTTTTATATTTAAGAATCCGATGCCAAATCCAGTGTTACAAAGATTTATTCCCATGTCTTCTAAGGACTTTATGGTTTCTATACTTATATTTAGATCATGAATACATCTTTTACATGTAGGTATTCACAGCTCATTTTTTTTTAAAGATTTATTTATTTATTCATACAGAACTGGGGTATAGGCTAGAGATGAGGAGGGTGAGAGGATTCACCAGGAACAGAGTGGGGAGCAGAACAGGCAGATCAATGAAGTACACTGCTGAGAGGAGCAGCAGGTCAATGAAGTACACTGCTGAGAGGAGCAGCAGGAGAGGTCTGCCACGCCACGTGGATCTCCTCCAGTGCAGGCAGGGATCGAAATCATGAGGAACTGGTTTAAGCTTCTTAGTGCAGTGCTTTAACCCACTGTGCCACCAGGAAGGGCCACAGCTTATTTTTAATACTAATAGCACAAGATACCAAATGCTGTCTTAAATGCCTCTTTATTACTCAATAACAATTATAATAGTTGGGGAAAACACCTATCATTACTGTAATGAAGTGGGGGGAGAAGTCATTCAATCTGATGGGTGAAAATGGTTTTAAATGCTACACTTAGAGTTCATTTCACTGGTAAGTCCTGGCTCACACTCTGCTCTTTGTGTACCATTTGAGCCTCACATTCTTTTTGGGGACCTGAATACTATCCCATCCTAACCAGTTCCTGACCACAGAAAGGACAGTGGAGACCTTGTCTCAAGGTACCAAGCTCTTGTTCGACCATTATGTTTGTTACTGACTTGTGTGCTTACTCTGCTGCCTCCTTTTTTAAACCTCATCTATATTCTACTTATCTTAGCTTCCAGTGTTCTTTGCCTGTGGAAAATATAGGCGCTTTCATCAGTGTTGTTTTTTGGTTTTGTAGTCTTGCCCTTTGGGCACTGTACATCCTTGCCTTCATCCATCTGTTATCTCTCTGGGTCCAAATGAGAGGTGTTTCTTATCCTTAACAATCAAAGCATGGCCCTGTCTTCTCTGGGTCTAAAATGTACTACTGGTTCCAGATGAAAAGTGTTGTCTCAGCACCTCTTCATGACTACCATCTTGGATTTTCCTGGGTTTCCTATTCTCTTTAACTATTGCATCTTCTTAGGTGGCACTCTGATTTCCTTGGAAAAATTCATATGATGTCTTCTCTTCATTTGGAATAAAATAATCTATAGAGTATTCAACATTGAGTTGAGTGATCTGTGTGAGAAAACTGTCTTCTCTGACATTCTCGTATTTTCCTAAAGTTCCTTCCTTTGTTTCTATACATCTGTTTTCAGACATATGGGGAAAACAAAACAAAACAAAAAAACAACTGAATAGCCATGTTTATCTACTTGATTATATGGAAGTCATGGATATTAATAAAAACATGAAAAAGGTGATCTTTTCTTGATTCAAAAGCTTTAAAAATGTAATTTAAATTCTGGAGTAAGTGGTACTTTCAAACATCACAATAGTGAAAACATGCACAGGTGATTCTTACTTCCAAAGTGTTAGCTGCCTGTTACCTTTGTATTATGTTTGCAAGTAAATCATGAGGATTTTTAGGTCTTTCCCCCCAATGTAAACATCTGAATAGCACAGTATGTTATATAATTAACATATTAGTGTTGGGCATATCATGATTTAGAGACTTTGAAGGGTTTACTTACAAGTTATATCTTTTCCTCACTTTTATATCTCCCTTCCCTTCATGTTAAGTGATTACTAAAACTCCTTACAAGAGAATAAAATTTTTATAGAGGTAATCCTGAATTTAAACCAATGAATTTATATCAAATTATATTCAAACAATTTCTAAAATCAAAGATTTTATGTTACATGATTTTATTTATATTTTGTTTTCACAAACTTTAATAAATCCCAGAAAGTGTATATCACCATTTTGTGGATAGCTTAATATCTTGTGGTAAAAAAAAAAAAAACAAAAACCGGAAACCGATTACTGCATTCAAAATAAACATTAGCCACTTTATTCTCATTTTAAAGGTCCTAACTTGATGCTTAAACTAAATGTCTGTATGTTTTTTTGTTCCAGATTTGGAATGGAGAGAAATGGAAGGAGATGATTGCGAGTTTCATTATGGAGGTATAAAATACAGGATTTGGTAACAGTGAATTGGGGAAAAGAGAGAGGGAGTGAAAACATGAAAATGGGATTTTATGTTTTTTTTTTTTTTTTTTTTTTAAAGATTTATTTATTTGTGCATACAGAACTGGGGTACAGGCCAGAGGCACAGGGGCAGTGAGAGGCTTCACCAGAGACAGAGTGGGGAGCAGAACAGGCAGATCGATGAAGTACACTGCTGAGGGGAGCAGCGGGCGGGTGAGGAGAGGTCTGTCACGCCATGTGGTCACCTCCAGGGCAGGCGGGAATCGAACTCATGCAGAAGCGGCTTTAGCTTTTCAGTGTTGTGCTTTAACCCACTGCGCCACCAGGGAGGGCCCAGGGATTTTATGTTTTAAACAATTGGGAGAAATTGCTATCTTAATAAGAAAGAAGGAGGGTTCTTAGTTTAGCTTAAATTATTTTGTGTCCATCAAGGTATCCTGCTTGATTATCTCATTTTCGTTTGATTTTTTTTTTTTTTTAGACAGTACAAATGAGGTTCTGGACAGTGATTTTCCAACAGGTATGTGCTTTTTCTGTGCCTTGTCCCTGCTTTTACTTCCTGTTCTATTGAAGGGGAATATCATCTTGGCTGGTGGTTCCTACAATGTTTTGGCATGAGTATCACCTTTAGTTGATATGCCATCAATAATATTGACAGAAAAAAAAAAAAAACTAGAAAGTTGTTATCATAGAGACGCCTTTCTCAGCGTCTTTAGTAAAGCCTAAGAATCTGAGGCACAGTGGCCATGCGGATTACACACTGGGAATGAGTAAGACCTAAGTATGATTGTTTGCATTAGCTTTTCTCCATTGCACTTTACTACTGCTTAAAAATAAAAGCAATGTTCCATGCTTGTGTTGGACAAACAATTTTTATTTAGGCAAAACTCAGATATCTTAGTGACACTCAAAAAGGATTTCTGTGATAGCATATCCTTCCCATCAGGCTTCTTTTTTCTGCAACAAGTTCAGTGTTTCCTGTACACTCTGGGGTGGTACTGTATTCACACTACTATGAGTTCCTGTCTGTTCTCCAGTGCTTTGTGTCTTGCTGGTCACTAAAGTGTGATTCTGAACCCATCACTGACACCTTAGAAAACAAGAAAAGGGATGATCATCTGTGTTACTTCTTTGAAAAAAGGGGTGGGGTAAAGAAAATCCTGTAGCTGAGTAGGATTTTTATTTATTTATTGTGTTAATTTATTTAATATTGTGTATTAGTTATGAGCAGTACAAAAATTGATAAACCAATACCATAGTCAAGAGCAGGGGTGGTAGAAAAGAACTTTTGAGATGGTATTGATATTCTTAGCATCTAGTGCTTGTAATATTTTATATTAAGTGATATTAGAAGAGTTTAACAAGTAAATGGAAGCGCCTCACAGTTTGTGTCAAATATCTTACTTTAGTAAAACTTAAATGGTCCTGTTGGCCTCAGATTGTTAAAATTGTTACTTAACTACAATTTCTACCACTCCATACTTAGTGATATTCCTTGTTTTCTTTTAAAATTCTCCAACGTATTTGTAAAAAGAATATTAAATTGAAAACCTGACTGAATCAGTGATTGTATATCACTGTGGGAACTTTCTGGTAACAGCTTGAAGAGTTCCATGCTAGACCCAAAACATTTACTGAGAAGCACAGGAATTTCTGTGAGTGCATGGAGGTGTGGTTGGAGGAGGGAGTTTGCATTTCATATCTAGGCACATGACTACTCACTCTGGCTAATTAAGTTTGGGCTCAGTATTACTAAATCTTACAAGTTTAAGAGAAACCAGATATGTAGACTTTTACATGAGATCTCCCAGTTCTTAAGTATAGTGCTTCATTGTCCTTTTCCTTTTCATATGGCTGGATTTGTGTCTAGTGTGGTATGATTTTACCTTTGTCTTATTTAGGGATGCCTTATTGAAGTAAGGCCATTACTCACTCCCTGGTTGGCCTATCCCTCCCCACCTCTACATACAGCAACTAATGTATAGAGTGAGCACTTTTGTCTTCCTTTCTCTCCACAGTCGAGAGAAGCAGACTACAAGAAATGCTGTCACTTTTGGGATTGGAGACATACCAAGTCCAGAAACTCAGTCTTCAGGATGTTCTGCAGATAAGTAGTGACAGCATGAAGAACTGGGCTCCTCAGGTTCCCAAAGACCTGCCTTGGAATTTCCTCAGGAAGCTGCAGGCCCTCAATTCTGAAGCCAGGAACACCACCATGGTGCTGGACATGCTCCCTGATGCTAGGCCTGTGGAGAAGGAGAGTCAGATGGAAGAGGAGATAATATACTGGGACACAGCCGATGACATCTCTGCAGATATCTACTCCTTCTCTGAGCTGCCCACTCCAGACACACCTGTGAACCCCTTGGACCTTCTTTGTGCAATTCTTCTTTCTTCAGATAGTTTCCTGCAGCAAGAAATCATGTTGAAAATGTCCCTCTGCCAGTTTGCACTCCCTCTCATTTTGCCTGACTCGGAAAACCACTACCATACATTTCTGCTGTGGGCCATGAGGGGCATTGTACAGACATGGTGGTCACAGCCTCCAAAGGGAGTGGGCAGCATCAGAGAAGAAAGTGTGGTCTTATCTCGAGCACCTACCTTTGCCTTTGTGCGCATGGAGGTCAGCAGCAATTCCAAGTCCCAGCTTCTCAATGCTGTGCTCAGCCTGGGCCACAGGCAGCAGGACTGCTTCTGGCACCGGGATCTGAACTTGGGCACCAACCCTCGGGAGATAGCAGATGGGCTGGTGGAAATTTCTTGGTTTCTTCCTAGTGGCAGGGAAGACTTAGACATTTTCCTGGAGCCTGTGGCCTTTCTGAACCTGAGAGGCGACATTGGGTCTCATTGGCTACAGTTTAAGCTCTTGACAGAAATCTCCTCAGCTGTGTTCATATTGACTGACAACATCAGTAAGAAGGAATACAAACTGCTGTACTCCATGAAGGGGTCATCCACAAAATACTACTTTATCCTGAGTCCCTACCGAGGGAAACGAAATACAAACCTGAGATTCCTAAACAAGCTAATTCCTGTGCTGAAGATTGACCACTCACATGTTCTTGTGAAGGTAAGCAGTACAGATAATGCAAGCTTTGTGCAGAGAGTCCGCTCTATTGTGGCTCACGTGGTTCGATCCTCTTGTAGAAGGGTCTCTCTGGAGGATATGGCGAATGCTGCTCGAAAGCTGGGGCTGAAGGTTGATGAGGACTGTGAGGAATGTCAGCAGGCAAAAGACCGGATGGAACGGATAACCAGGAAAATCAAAGATGCAGATACCTATAGAAGAGATGAGCTAAGGCTGCAGGGGGACCCTTGGAGGAAGGTGGCTCAGGTAGAAAAGGAACTCTATCAAGTTCAGTGGTCTGGTGACCCTCCTGAGAAGTACAGAACTGAATTGAGGCATCGGTTACTCGAACTTCGAATGCAGCAGAATGGCCACGAACCTGCCTGGGGACTGCAGGAGTTCATTACCGGCATCAGCAGCCCTTCCCTGGGTGAGAAGCAGTACTTCCTCAAGTGGATGGAGTGGGGGCTGGCTAGGGTGACCCAGCCAAGACCAAGACAGCCTCCAGAGACAATTCTTACCTTGAGACCAAAACATTGTGGGTCTGTGGACTTCAGTGAGCCTCTCTGGCCTGAACCTCTGGGAGTAGAGCACTTCTTGCGGGAAATGGGGCAGTTTTATGAGGCAGAAAGCTGTCTTGTGGAGGCAGGAAGGCTGCCAGCAGGCCAGAGGCGGTTTGCCCACTTTCCATCTTTGGCCTTGGAGCTGTTGTTGAAAGGGCTCCCCCTAGAACTGGTTGATGGGAGCACTCTAAGCACCCCGCTGCGCTGGGTCACAGGGCTCCTGAAGGAGCTGCACGTTCGTCTGGAGAGAAGGTCTCGATTGGTAGTCCTGTCAGCACTGGGTGTGCCAGGTACAGGAAAGTCCACTCTTCTCAACACCATGTTTGGATTGCGGTTTGCCACTGGGAGAGGCTGTGACCCTCGAGGGGCCTTCATGCAACTCATCACAGTGGCTGAGAGCTTCAGTCAGGACTTGGGTTGTGATCACATTCTAGTGATAGACTCTGGAGGCTTGATAGGTGGGGCCCTGACAACAGCTGGAGAAAGGTTTGAGCTGGAGGCATCCCTGGCCACTTTAATTATGGCACTAAGCAATGTCACTGTAGTTAGTTTAGCAGAAACAAGGGACATTCCTCCTGCCATTTTGCATGCATTTCTGAGGTTGGAAAAAACAGGGCATATGCCAAGTTATCAGTTCATATACCAGAACCTTCATGATATATCTGCTCCTGGCCCCAGGCAGAGAGAGTGGAGGCAGTTCCTGGATCAGCCCAGTGACGTGAACATATCCACAGTGCAAATGGAGAAAGGTGATAGCATCCGGACGCTGGCTGACCTGGCCTTTTGTGATCCAGAGAAACAGCATGTCTGGTACATCCCAGGCCTGTGGCATGGAGTGCCTCCCATGGCTGCTGTGAGCTTGGGCTACAGTGAAGCTATTTTTGAATTGAAGAGATGTTTGCTAGAAAATATCAGGAATGGCCTGTCCAACCAAAACAAGAATATCCAACAGCTCATTGAGCTGGTGAGACGGCTATGAGTGTGGACAGAGGCCAGCTCTGTGTGACTTTTTCTGATGTGGTGTCCACATGAGGCTGCACCCAGCATCTGAGAGAGACTGATGTCCAGCATACATGGAAAGGGAGAAAGGTGAACAAGGGGGAAATCTAGAGCTTACTAAACAGTGTGAAGAAAGGAAATAGCTAGATAGACCATTCAGAGATGTTGTCAGAAAATTTGAAACCCTAGGGTAGGAAGTAGAGACAATACATTCATTGCTTTTATGTCTTTGAGTGCTATTTGATGGCCTTGGAGGTTTGACCTTTTGTACAGCTGCTCTCCTTCATTTGCTTCTGGAGGTGGAGGGTTTCTTCTCAGTTACTTCAGGTTAGGCAGACAGGTACCCAGGATAGATATCAGAAAGTTGTTCTGAGGAAGTAGAGTGGATGCTTCCAGTGAATTCAGTATCAGTGACTCAATCCTGCCCAAGATAGTGAATGCCTGTGGCATGCAGGGCCTGCCATGGCACTCTTGTTTATCGACTGATTGCTGCCGCCTCCCCTTATTCCATACCAGGAAGATTCCCTGCCTCCTGTCCTGTACCATGGCCTTTGTTCACTTCCTACCATAGTACTCAAAACAAGTATCGTGACTTCCCTGTTCACATGTCTGCCCCTACCCTAGACTGTGAGCTCCTTGAGGGCAGGGGTTGTATATCACCTGAATTTCTACCTAAAGGGCCTAGCACATTGTAGGCACCTAATAAATATTTGTTGAATGAATGAAATGAATTGATGCACAAATGATAGTAATGGGGAGGATCCTCTGTGCTTTAATGTTCCTGTTCCTCAAAGAGGATCACGTGACTGTTTGAGGAGAGATACCTCATAGAACGTGTGAAATGTTGGGCCACAGAGAGAAATGTCTATAAAAATTACCATGTTATTCCCTTCTGTTTGAGCAGAGATCTATTCTTCAAATGGTTACTGTGAAACTGAACTAAATGTGTGTTTTTTTTTTGCAATAATGCCAAGGTAGCACCATTATTATCCCATTATATAGATGAGATGAGAAAGCCTGAAACATGTCCCAGCCCATACATCTGCATGGATAGAGGAGAACTGAATAAGCTGGTGCCCTAAACCTACACCTCTGCATCCTGACTACTCATTTCTCCCAAAATTCCAGAGGTGCCAGGCTCATCCCCAGCCTGATTCCTCAGTGCCAGTCTTTCACTCATTTCCCTATCTCTGAAGTTAGGTTTTCTTGCAACATAACCAAGTATTCTCTCCTGTGCATTTTCTCCAGCTGGACTCTGCCTATATTGGCTCTTAACAAAGGCCAGCATCACATCACTAAATCTTGGAACCCAATCTCAGTTTTATCATTAGATCTGAGAACCTCTGGATGGTCCTATGAATTCAGGCCTTGGGGCTGTTTTCACTTTGTCTTTTGTGATTTCAGGGAAATTAGGTTCCAAGGTGGTGATCAGAGGCTTCTCCTTTTGCTAAATTTGTCAGGGTCTCCCTCTGAACTGAAACCCTTCTTTTGAAATATCTACACCTGCTACTCCCTTGATGTTCCCTCTGTGTGTTCCTTTTGTGTTCTGGGAACTTGGCTCTAAATATGTACAACAGAGGTTGAAGTACTGGAATTCTGAAGATCTGTTTCCACTAATTTAGGAAAAACTTTCCTACTAAAACAGAATCCCCTATCCAAGTACTAATGAGGCCTGACCCTGCTTAGCTTCTAAGATCATATGAGATTGGGTGCATCCAGGGTGGTTTGGCCATAGACACAAATAGAATCTAATTCTTCAGTACTAGAAGATTTCCCCTCTTTCTGGATCACAATAATATATTAGCTTACATGAAAATATCAAAACTTTTTGCTCCCTGCCCCCCCAGCACCATGGAAACTATTCAGGTGCTTGTCCAGTACTCTAACAGTTTCACTCAAGATATCCTGGTTCCTAAGTTCAGACACTGGAAAGCTCTCTTAAAACCGTCTTCCCCAAAAACCTTTATTCAAGCTCTTCCTGAAAATCTGAAAAAGCCATTCTTAGTGTCTCCCTACAAATAAAAGATTCTTGATAGTATATCCATTGTCGAAAGTTAGGTTCAATCATTGAATTGCTGAAAATTAGGTCTTCACTGTTTTCTCCTTCCTGGGGCAAAGAGTTCATAGCTTTCAACAGAAAAGATGCAGGATTGAAAATAGATTAATAGCTACTTAGTAATTAGGAAATTTATTCCATGCTTACTCCTCAGAATATTAGATATTATAAAATTATATCAGTTATTTGCAGAAAAGTTTTCCCTGAAGCTGAGTGTTTTTTTCCAGAATGTCAGACTCACTATATTTTATGGGTCAATTTTCTCCATAACCTATGAAAGGAATTTACCTTCAGATCTTTAAATCAGTACTGCTCTTCTGATTTAAATTGCCAAAAAACCCAGGACTTGCCTAGCATCTTGAGTTCAAAACTTAGGTGTCAGTCCATCCTACCAGTTCCAGGGATTAACACAGTCAGAAGTCCTCCTTTCCATCATATATGAAGACATATTTAGGGTCTGAGAGAACTTGCCAGCTACTGAGCTGTAGTGTCCTTGGCACCAGCTTAGTGATACAAGAGCCACTTGGAGATGGATGGGTGGTCAAGGATGTTCAAAAGAGGTGGCGTCTTCTCACAGGGGATCTCGTTACTTTGGTCAATAATGATCATGTCAGTGATCTTGGAGTAAATGGACCTGGGAGTCTTTGAGATAGGTAACAAAGATTCCTGTCCTGTCTCCTGGGAGATGGGAAGTGGCTCATCTCATCATACAGGATGCGCAGTCTTGCTTCCTGTAATTATATGGCCCTGAACAAAATCACTTATTTTCTCTAAGCCCTAATCTCCCTGCTAGAACCTGATTTTTGAATCAAACAGTTGTTGTTTTGAAGGAGCTGATTTGTGCACAAAAGCATGTTATTTTAAACCATGTCTACACCAACATGCACATCCATGAGGCTCATGTAAGAGAAGCATCCTATTTTCCACAATAATCTTGAATATTTTAACATGCCAAATGGGATTCATTTGTAATCAGTCTTAAAAATAATTCACAACAATTTCTTACTGGTATATAAAGCAATGTCATCTAATTGAAGTTATCTTAGATTTCCTAAAAAATGGTATCTTACAGGACTAGTATAAAGTATGTGCCTGATATGGTGGCTTTCCCCATCCCTGATTTTTTTTAATTAGCCCAGTAAATAAAAAAGTATTTTTTTTTTTTGCAGCTGGGCAAACAATTTACCAATGATAAAGCAGGCAGATTAATTCATATAGTTATAACTAACATTTCTATTTATATTATAATAAAAGGTTAGCAAAACAAAAGAAAAGCTTCTTTTGTTGCTATTATTAAGGATCCTCATTTTTATTAAAGCATCCTAAAAAAGGTTTAAAACAAGGAATGAAAGGAATGAAAAAGTTTACTCAGTTCTAACATTAAGAGAGATAGGAGAGTTGAAGGTCAAACAACAAAGACTTAAGCTTTTTGGTTCCCAAAGTTTTTTCCTCTGGGGCTTAATTTAGTGTGTACATCAGGAAGGCAGTGGAATGAGGGAGTTTGAATTACTGGTTTGGACAGGAACATGTTATCACAATATGTTTTTAGCACTGTCTAATTTTGCTGTATTAACTTTACAGTAATAGCCAATTGCTTTTATTAGAAAAACCAAATGTAAAATCAATGTTTACTTTATGAAATGCATCCAAATGCAAATATAAGAGTGGCCAAAACAAAGCAAAGAGATGCAGTAGGAGCCATCTTTGGGTCCCTGACTTTTTAGGGGCACCCCCTCATACCTGGACTTTGTCAGATGGTACCTGGACTTACTTCCCCGTGCCAGGGAAGTAAGATTGGGACTGGCATGTTGGCATAGAACTTGTGCCTCGCTGTTGCTACTGATGGAGAAGCAACCAACCTGCCACATTCGCTTTTGTTTTGAGTCCAGACTGCTCAGAGATACTTTTGGGGAGGATATATAGCATCTGGCTACATACTGGGCAATGATCATTAGATTATTAGATAATCTCTCTCTCCCACCTCTCTCTCTTTTCTCCCTCACTATGTGAATAATTATTGTTCTTTGTTCCTGTGTATCTGCCTTTAAGTCATGTCCTCCGATGTAATTGTGCAGTTTAGAACACAACAACTGGGTCACCCCTGGTTCCCTGGGCTTATCCAACTTCAGTTTGGTGCCTATTGGGCCAGGCATCCAGGATTGACCAGCCCATAAGTGTGTTGCAACTGGTAGTCCATATATATGGCAGGATATTTCTGTTCTTAGTGTAGAGTTTAATATATATTTGGAGTTCTCTCTGTGTTTTGATTCAGGGTTCAAACTTTAGCCAGTTTTGCTTCTCCTTCTCATTCTTAGTCTCATTTTATTATTATTTATTTTTTATTATGCTTTATTTTCTTACATTGTTCATTGTTGTATAGTCTGGTTTTTCCGTTCAGATATGGTCCCGATACTTCTCACCACATTATTGTAAAATGTCACCATACTCCCTTGTGCTCTTCCCTTCCTTATCATGATCCCTCTCCCTCCCCCACCCCTTCTGTATGCCTCAAATCTAGTTTGCCTGCCTGAAAGTTTTGTATTTTTTTCTTGACCCTTTGTAAAACCATGCAATATTTTTCTCTTCACTTCTGACTTATTTCACTTAGGATAATCACTTCCAGCTCAATACATGTTGCTGCCAATGTCATGAGTTTATCTTCTTTGGTTGCTGAGTAGTATTCCATTGTTTATATAAATCACATTCTTGATCCACTCATCTGTTTTGGGGCATTTAGGTTGTTTACAGTATTAGCTATTGTAAATAGTGTTGCAGGTGTTCTGGTTCCTTTTAAATTAATGTTTTTGTGTCCCTTGGGTAGATTATGTAGAGTAGAATTGCTAGTTCATTTGGTCGATACATTTTTAGTAATTTGAGGGACCTTCACATAACTTTCCATAATTATTGAACAAGTTAACTTCCCACCAGCAGAATAAGAGCATTCCTTTTTCTCCATATCCTTGCCAAAATTTGTTGTTGCCATTTTGTTTAATATGTGACATTTTTACTGGTGTAAGGTGGTATCTCATTGTGGTTTTGATTTTCATTTCCTTGATTATGAGGGATGGTGAAAACTTTTTCATATGCCTGCTGGCCATTTGCTTTTCCTCCTTGGATAAGTGTCTCTTTATCTCTTCTTCCCATTTATTTTATTTATTGGGTTGTTTGATTTGTTTTTGTGGAGTTATGTAAGCTCTTTGTAGTTCTTTGATATGAATCCCTTACCCTTTTACCAGTTTTATGGTGTGCAAATATTTTCTCCTAATCGGCAGGGTATCTATTTTTCTTGGTTATTGACGTTTTTGCTGTACAGAAGCTTTTTAGTTTTATGTAGTCCCAGCTGTTTATCTTTTCTTTCATTTTTGCTTTGCAGGATGTTTCTGAGATATATGTCATGTAGTTTTTTGTTTCTATATATTTCATGGTTTAAGGTCTTATGTTCAGTTCTTTTAACTATTTTAGTTGATTTGTATGCATGGTGTGAGGTAGTGGCCTAGTTTCATTCTTTTGCATGTTGGTGATCCAGTATTCCCAGCACCATTTATTGAACAAACTGTCCTTGTTCCACTGCATATTCTTTGCTCCTTTGTCAAAGATTAGTTGTCCATAAATATGTGACTTTATTTCCTGGCTTTCTATTTGGTTCCATTGGTCTGTGTGTCTATTTTTGTTCCAGTACCATATGGTTTTACTTATTATGGCTTTGTAGAATAGTTTGACACCAGAGAGTGTGATGCCTCCATTCTTCTCTTTAGTCTGAAGAGCATGGTTATTCAAGGTATTTTGTGGCTCCATATGAATTTTATCAGTATTTGCTCTATTTATTTGAAGAATGTCATTGAAATTTTTATGGGGATTGTATCTGTACATTGTTTTCGGTAGGATGGCCATTTAAAAAATGTGAATTCTTCCAATCCATGAGCAGGGGATATA